AGGTATAGATCGAGTTGTAAAGACTTCCTTCGTATCAAAACATTACTTTGCATTGACCTACTTCGTCTATTTTAATGGCTAAAACCCATGCAGATACCTTGCATGATTACAGTCAATAAATTCGTCAATATTTGAAGCTTTAAAAGACTTAGCTTAAATCAAAGTGAATGAACTATAGACGAAGTAGATCATCGTTAACAGGCGCCTAGCGTGGACTTATTGGCTAGTACGTATATGTGGCTAACGACCGCGAAGGTGGGAGTATAAAGGGGGTCTGGGGTCCTCCCCTAGGAAATTGTGAAATTATTACTATTGGAAATGCGATTTCCAGCGTTTTGAGGGGCATCGAGAGCAATATATAAAATGCATCAAATCCCGAAAATTTCCTTGCCACTACGTACGCACGGGTGTATATGCGTTAAGGACACTACGCGCCTGGTTAACACGACTTCGCCGTCCAGTGCAAAATAATTATTTGTAGTAGTCATAAAAAGCCTTTTAAGTGTAGTGATCGAGGAAAACATGCTCAGTTTCCGATGTATTAATGGAAAATATTCATTTGTATTTTAAAAATCACTTTATTAAAAAAGAGACACGGCCATGTAGTCGCTCGACTAGGAATCGTGGATATATTAAAGCATGGTAAATGTCAATAGTTGATCAGGATGAGACACTAAAAAGTGAAAACACGGCCTTTTTTCTTTATCTCACGTAAGCGTTGATTTTTTTATAGTATATAAGTTATGAGATCATGTTTTCATGGTGAAACTCATTCTATAGAGGCCGCAAAATGACACGTAAAATTCTGATCCGATCCCCATCCCTGACCTTGATCCCGATTACAAAGCTATCGCTCTGATCCATGATCCAAAAAAATAATGATACTAGTAAAGATGTGATACCTGAGTGCAAAATAACGGGATCCCTGAATCTTCATATTTGCTTGTACCTTGTATTTTGCTGCTATCCATCCATAATGATGATGGATTTATGATTTGCGAATACAAAAAAATGCTGCTTGTTGCTGGCCGGTGTTCAATGATGAACCACTTAGATTAGAAAATCGGGTTCTTTTTCAACCTTCTTGTTGCATGCTGCTATAGTTATTTTCTTTTCTTGCAGACGTAGACTTCATACTATAGCCTTGACTCAGGCTCGCGGCCATTTTGGACTCAATATAGACAATGATTCTTTTTCAACCTTCTCTCTGCTATAGTTATTTTTTTTCTTGCAGACCGGATTCTTGTGAAAAGGCTTTCTTAAAAAGCCAAGTTTCTTTTTTAAAAATACCAATTGATTTTGCTGCACGGACGTTCTCAGGAATAGAGTTCCATAACTCAGGAGCAGCAAAAAGACTAAAAAATCTTCTGCTATAAAATTTTTATTTTTTTTTTCGGCCATAATTTTTTTTTGTTATATTTAATCTTAAAGGAGGGTTGTTACGTCCTCACAAAAATGTCCCAAAAACTTGAAAAGTCGTACTTTCGATCGATTTCAAGTTGTCTAATTATAGAAGATTAAATCTCGAGTCCTTCCAAAGCTTCAATCATTTTCAAATCATTTAAAACCTTATGTCCCCACAACTATGGTTTATACCACAGTCCCCATTAGTTGGCAAAGTTTTGTATGACTGGAGTTGTTAATTTTCTGTTCTGTTCGTTTGTCTACATTCAGTCTAAAATTTCCAGATAAATATGTATTTTTATAAAAGCAGGACCTGAGTTTGACATTGGAGGGACCTCTGTTCCCTTAAGGTTCCCCTTGCCTCATCTCTTGATAATATATAGATGAAAAGAGGAATTCGGCGCCTAATTTGAAAGATTTGTCACGAAATAAATAGTGGTGCRTATGACAACTAGTAATGTCATTACTATATATAGATTGCATGTATTAAGTAGTTTTTAAAAGACTATTCCTAATATCCTAATAAGTGTAGACAAGAAATTCAAAATGGCACTTGGCCTAATATACACGAGTTGAGAATGATGCTATCTTTCTTTATTTGAATTCTAATTGTTTATATTGTGGATTTCGATATATTTTTTGATGTAAGCAAACTATGTTATTACTCGACCATCCGTAGATTATTGTTATGAGAGAAATTAAGCTGACGTAATAGCAGAATACAGAAAGCTGCAGAAGTCGGACTCTGAACTCGCAAAAAATAAAGGAATTTTCACAAGAATAGGGAAAAAACTTTTATAAGGGGTTTAAAGAGATTTTGTGAAAATCTACGTCTACGACTGCTTCTCCAGTTGAAGCTGAATTTTTTTGTTGTGTACTATGCTTTTCTGTCATATTGAATTACGTCATTACCGTCGTCGACCCGTTTCATTGCTTTTTAAAGGAGTGTGCATTTTCATGCAAAATAGATCAACAGGAAGAAAATCAACAATCTTGGTGAGTTATATTCGCTTCAAAATTAACGAADTCACGAAAGTCTGTGATTTCATTTTTTAATAATTTTAAAGGAGTGGTAGTGTAGGAGGAAACATTGAGGTTTAGACTACATTTACTCGTTATTTATGTACATAGGTACATTATATATATGCAGTCCATCGGAGATTCCACAACTCGTAGACTTTAAGTCGCCATTACTTTGTGCGAGTTTTGCGATTTTAGAAATATTGCACTAAGTAATAACATTTTAATGCGATTTTTGGTGATTTTTGGTAGTTTTTTTGCACCGAATTATGCTTATCGGGAATTGAAGCGGAATCTCAAATCATGAGTGGCATTTATAATTTGAATTCATGAATCATGTCATTTTAACAACGTCTAGAAGATTTAGACGCTCACACGAGCACATTTTAATCGCCAGCGAATTTGATTGCTAATATCTAGATATCAAAGAGTTCGATCGCTTTCGAAAGCTTAAGTCTCGCCATCATCAAAKTCGATCGGAAAAATCGCCACAGAGGCAGGTGAGATTCGCTAGTTACAAGAGTACCAGAGATTCGATCGCTTTGTGTGACGTTGGATTTTATTCATGGGATTATCAAACGATTTAGTGGGAATTTATTGGACACATAATAAGAATWTATTAGAAATAATGACCATATCGATGCGATGAAAACCGAACTTCCGCTTTCAACGTAAACAAGGTTGTGTCTTGCAAACTGCTGAGCGTTACCATTGTTACGCTACGCTTGATCCTATAGTAACGTAACGGAAAAGAAGCTATAGCTGTGAAAGAGACTATTTTTTTGAGACAAACAATTATGTTTTCCTCAAGTTTTATTAGTGGCTCTCGTTCTGCAGCTTCAAGTTTAATATTTGTATTATGATTGAATATGATTCAGCACCATTCTTATTTAATAGCACTGTAGATAGACCAGCTCGCYATCGATAAAAGATAAAAATCGCGCAATAATTTAAGGTAGCTGAAAATGCATTGAAGAAATTAAGCTAAATACGGCAATCAGTCAATGCAAGCACATGATATTATTCTAGAATGTGTTTCTACTACAACTCAATCTCACCTTGTACTAAGTGAAGTCTTTTGAATTTATATGTTCCATTCAGAAGACACTTACTTAGACGTAGTTCAGGATGGATGGAGATGCACGAGACGGTAAGATTTCATTCCTTGTTAGGGGATTGTGAAGTCGTGGGGCGTTGGTACGAAACKGTTGCTCTCACAAATGAATTGAAACCTTTAAAGGTTTTTAAAATTGTCATTRSGTCCACCGAGCTGGGGACATTGAATTAAAAGTGGACGTATTAGCGAGACGGTCGCATTATCAGGGCCCAAAAGTAATACAGTTAAATTGAACAGCCTCGAATAGAGTCTTTCGTTAGTCGTACGACTTCCAAGTCTAAAATTCTGGCCGATGTATCAGACCGACCCAAGTATAAAGCGGGTGGCCGTAAGGCGGGAAAATCGAGAAGAGATTTTTAAAAAAATACTATAACATAATAAAATGACTCTATGTGTAATTAATGTTTATCTTTAATTTCACTGCAGGAAAAGGACTTGCTGTTGATGTATGTCAGAAGATGCCTGAAGAGAATTCKGACTTACCAAGTGTTGGTAAGTTCTTTCAGTTTGTATACGGAAATTATCACAGTATAGTTACTCGATCGCACATAAATTTTCCGATTATGTCAAATGCATATAAGAAGGCGAGATTTTAGTAAGGTAGAGAGTCACAGGGGCGAATCCAAATTTTTCCTCAGGGAGGGGTGCGGGGCTCTCAGGAGGGGCACCCCACCAAAATCATTTCATGCATGAAGATACAATATAACGAAAGTATTGAAGGATATAGATCTCAAGAGGGGTGCGCATCCTCTGCACCCCCCCAGCTGGACCTGCAGACATAAAATCGTCGTTCCAAACGCTCGAAAACTTGCGTGTGCATTTTTGCATTGTGCTAGTCTCATCAAGTCAAGTGACAACATGCATGCATTTTGCGGCATTTGGGAAGATTATATGAATACTAGGACTTAGGGAACATCACCTGACGAAGGATCTGCAAGGAAGGATATACGGTGTGCATACTGCAATGCTGCCAATGAGAGCTGGAATTGGATTTTTTTATTTTTTTTATTTTGAGTGCCAAATCTTACTTGATTATTGTTATATTTATCTAGACGAACCTTCAAATCAGAACGAAAATGGACAACCAATTGACACATCGTCACAGGAACAACCTGCCACAAAAGAAACTGAACCTGCAAAGGAAACCAAGAACACTGACCGTAAGCCAGAGGCAACGTTTTACACCTTTGACCGATCAGGTTCCATGAGCAGTATGGGAGACGCACCGTCGGAAGCATTGTTCCAGGAGATAAGAGAAAAGCTAGCTGAAGCCATACATGGCGATTATGTTTACATACAGGCCTTTGACGATCGCATTGATCCGCCCCTTCACGATGGCCCTGTGTCGCAAATCAAACTAACCCTCGAAAATATCAAAAAGGGATTAAAGCCACGGGATAGGACTGCCTTGAACGATTCCTTTGCTGCTCTTTTAAAAAAGGCAATGACCTTTCATGAGGCTAACCCCGGTCACGAGGTTGCAGCGGTCGTCTATACTGATGGTGCAGAGAACTCTTCTAAGGAATATGGTGGACCAGAAGGTCTCAAGAAAGTGAGTGCTCTTGTTCACAAAGCTCGTGATATGGGGATAGAAGTGATCTTCATGGCGGCCAATATTGACGCCTTTGCAACCGGAGATTCMTACGGTGTTCCGCAAAGGGCATGTCTACAAGCCGGACAACGTAACTTCGTTGGACTCAAATATGCAAAAGATGGAATCCGACAGAAAAATATATGCAGGTCAAAGGGTTTTGGATTTACGGAACAACAGATACGGTCATCAAGCGAAGAAGTTCCAAGGTGAGAATTTGTCTGATACGCATGGACGTCTTTTGATRGTAGTTCTTTTCTGTAGTATTTTGATAATAGAAGATGTCTCTATAGATGTTTTTCAGAAATGGCGAGAGGTGATATTCACATCCGAAACGCCAAGGACAACACGACTTTAAAGACGACAAAAAAAACCCGAAGTAATCACATTTTGAAGTTATCTGTGCATACAAACTAACCCTACAGCGTAATAATTTATATTTTAGCTTTCCTTTCTACCCAAAAAGACCGAAACGGCACAAAAACCAAGTTTTTGTATCAAGCTTACCGATCTAGGTTTCTCTGAGCAGCGGCCATTTTGGTTTGGTGTTTGTTTACCTGCCTCGTTTTCGTGCGCACCTCGCCATTTCTGAAAAACATCTATTTCTAGTCTCGTCTCATTCCGATAGCGAGAGGTTTTGCGCATCACATGCAAGCGCCATGAGAAAGTTTATCGTTCTATTGTTTTCCCATTTCTTCCATACATAATAAAGAACTATCCACAGGGTCTCCGCTATACGGATTGTTTGTAGTAAATGCTGCTCTCTGATTTCATAAATATGCTCTCAAAACAGAGCAAAATGAATTAGACTTTCCAGTAGGGCCAATTCGCTTCAGGTCATTAAGGGARATGAGGGGGCATAACAGGTTAACGTTTTTTCAGTATATAGTTCAGGGATGTAATTATGCGAGAAGTAAACTATATTTCTTAGTATTTTTAACTCGAAGATTGCGAAGCGGTTGCACTGAGTTTTGAGCATTTTTGACATCAATTTCATTGTCAAAAAGATACAGACAATGGAAAACCGCCTGCGAATTTTTATGATAACTTTATGATAATTATGATAAGGTCTCAGATAAATAGCAAGCTCTCGTACTAATCTGATTGTATCTGTTTGTTTTAGGTTTCAGAAGCAATGAGTTTAGCCATATCCCAATAATGTACCCGGAATGAGCAATTACAAGTTAACAGCGAAACTACGTCTGCTAGTGGAGATAATACGAAAATGTAAAAGAAATAGCACTGTGTAGKTTTGGTTAGATCTTCATATGTTCTTTGTTTTCAGTAAAGGTCACAGCGGCCATCTTGGAGGAACTTCAACAATAATTGTTCATTCCTCCAACATGGACGGCAGTCTTTTTTTCTTTTGAATCTCATGTTAATGTCTTTGTTAATATACCTTAAACGCAGGGAAGAGGACGATTTTACGAGAACTTGTTACTGTGCAATAAAAATATTTCTGATTTGAAAAAATCMATTAAAGATGTATTTGATGTAAAATTTGTCAATAAGCACGTCCATAAAGTTTAACGATCAAGTTGTGAAAATCAATAAAAACAGTAACCTTCAAAATCAGTAAGCATGTTCGTTCTACTGGATCTCAATGATTCTTTCTGAAAAGGAATTCAACTGAAATTATATRTGACATCGATTTCACARTGCATCCTTGTTATTTTCCGTGAATATTGCATACCCAAACAAAATGATGTCGAAACCGCCACCTCAGCTATTTTGATGCAACTGAGATTACGTCATCGTTCGCCCACGCTATATATATAATTATTATGGATGAGAGAAATAGAGCTGACGTAATAGCAAATAATAGCAAAATTACGTATATGATTGTTCATTGAATGAACAAGACACAGAACTTGAATCTGTTGTTAGTGGGTTTTTTTTCCTTTTTTATTGAATTAAGTCATTATAACGACGGGCCGCTTCATTGCTTTCTTGAGGAGTGCGCATTGTAGTGCAAAATCGCCAAGAAGAAGAACAACAATTTTGGTGAGTTATATTCCATTCAAAATTGACGAATTTTCGACAGTCTGCGATGTCATGTTTTAAGATTTTAAATTTGTGATAGTGTAGGAGGAAATGTTGGGGTTTAGCGACTACATTTATTCGTTATTTATTGCAGCTATTTGATCAGCCGGATTCCGCTTCTCGTAAACTTTAAGACTCAAAAACTTTGTGCAACAAGTTTTGCGATTTTAGCAAATACTGCACTGAGTTATAACTCTTTAAAGCGATTTTTGGCGATTATAAACAAAGTCTTGGGTACCGGTGTTGTTTATCGGAGTTTAAAGCGGAATCTCGAATCATGAATCGCATCTTTATAATTTGAATGAATGTTATTTTAACACCGATAACCTCGAGGTCGACGTCAAACTAGAAGATTTATTCAAGGCATACGAACGAATTTTAATAGCCAGAGAATTTGATTGCAAATATCCAGATATCCTCGGAGAGTCATCAAAATCGATCGGAAAATTCGCTACCGAGGCAGGTGAGAACTGACGATTGAAATTCGCTACTACGAGCGAACCAGAGAATCATTTTGTGTGTTTTTGGCTTTTYTTTATGGAATTATCAAACGATGTAGTGGGAATTTATAGGACCCATCATAAATGATAATATGTTCCCAAAAATTAACATTTCCACCAAGTATGTCTCGCAAACTGACCGTTACCACTATCACGCAATCCCCTAGTAACGTGACGGAACGGAAGTCAGATTTGACAGAGGCTTCTTTAGAAACAATCAACTATATCGTGGCTATCTTTCCAATGTCTTTCTGCAGCCTTACATGTAAAATTAATTTCTACGTTATATGAATGATTATGATTCAGACCCATTCTTCTAGAGCATCTAGCTAAGATGCTCTAGTACGACAGCTGGTGATCTGTAAATCGCGCAATTTAAAAAACGCAGCTGAAAATTTCATTGTAAAAAGGAAAATACGTCACTCAGTCAAGCATATTAAGAGCCGATGTCTGTAAAAATCAAACATTTGTTGGCAACGGTCGATTTCGATCAATTTGTGCCACAAGATGTATAATCACTCAAGTAACAGCAGTATGAGTGTTTTTTTGAAATAATATTTTTTATTTTTGAGAAAATTACGATTTTGTGACGAGCCTCGCCGACGGCTTATGGTAGTTTGCGAAACGAAACGAAACGACATCTGTAGTTTGCGAAACTGTAGTTTGCGAAATCTGTAGTTTGCGAAACTGTACTTTGCGAAACTGTAGTTTGCGAAATCTGTAGTTTGCGAAACTGTAGTTTGCGAAATCTGTAGTTTGCGAAACTGTAGTTTGCGAAACTGTAGTTTGCGAAACTGTAGTTTGCGAAACTGTAGTTTGCGAAACTGTAGTTTGCGAACTGTAGTTTGCGAAATGAATTAAAAATTAAGCAATTTAAAGGCTTTCATAAGCCCTAGCAGTTACGTTTATATCCCAGCCTTATTTACTACTCACCAGGGTAGTCTTTCACACTGTATTTATCATCCAGAACAACGTTATTTGGATGAAGTTGTTGTTCGCTACTCAATACTCGAACTGGCCGCCATTTTGTTGACACAGGAAGCCCGGACACAACACAGGAATCCCGATGAGCCTGCGGTATTAAAATCGAACAATTTAAATTTGGCGCGAAATATATATTTTTCTTTTAAATGGCGTTCAAAGTGCCGGCAAAAGTTAAAATTGCTCACCAAAATCTAGAGAGAGAGGCTCTTGATGCTCACATCTGGAGTGAAACAAAAAAAAATATCGCCCGGGCGCAGTAATCGGATTCGCGCCAAACACACAAGAATAACGAAAAAGAAGTATATTTACAGCTGTTTATTGCATTAGAAAAACCATCTTGGGTAAGTAAAACGTAATTATAGAAGTTCTTAGTATTTGGAGTTAATTTTGGGGTTTTGTTAGCAATTATTATCGAATATATCAAGAAACTGATGTTCGATTCGCCGTCTGTGCAGTCCAGGTCAAGGTCACGTAAACACGATTTTGAGCAACCTTTCAATAGCTCTTATAAATCAACTATTCATTTGCCCAAAGATATCTCTACGTCGTTTGAACGCAAATTTATTCTTCTTTCGATGTGCGGAAGCTTGTTTAATTCAAAGGTTTATCGCATGATGAAAATGTCATGTTTTCAAGGTACACTTTCACCGATTCAAAATACCATCCTCGTGACTAAAATTATTTTTAATATTTTAGTTAAAGCAAACATTTCCAAAATCACACAAATGAATGTTAAAAGATCATAAAACAATATTTTGGGGTAGTTGGTTTCTAATAATTATTTTTTCTTTGTAAGCGAGGCGATCAAACTTGGTTCAGATTGGGACGCTATCGATCAGCAAATTTGGCGGTCGGCGAGGCTCGTCAAAAAATCGTAATTTTCTCAAAAATAAAAAATATTATTTCAAAAAAAACACTCATACTGCTGTTACTTGAGTGATTATATATCTTGTGGCACAAATTGAGCGAAATCGAAGAATTGACCGTTACCAAGGATTTTCGATTATGTCCGATTTTTACAGACATCGGCTCTTAAATGTTATTATTCTATAATGTTTCTACTAATAATCTAGTTGCGGCTCGAATCTATATATCTCGATAAAACACACACTCTCGTTCTATAAACAACACTTATAAAAGACAGTTTGTTTCACTGAATGTACTATAAC